CAGTGGCTGCTCACTGTAAAAAAAACAAACAAAAAAAAACTATTGCCTCCACCCCTGTGCGATGGATGGGGGCCTGAAATAAGAATGTGTCCCCCCCAGCCCCCACCCCCCACCACAGAGCGGCGGGTGTGGGCCCATAAATAAACCCGATTGAGATGCTGTGGCATGACCTCAAGAAAGCGATTTACACCAGACATCCCAAGAATATTGCTGAACTGAAACAGTTCTTTAAAGAGGAATGGTCAAGAATTACTCCTGACCGTTGTGCAACTACAGGAAACGTTTGGTTGAAGTTATTGCTGCCAAAGGAGGTTCAACCAGTTATTAAATCCAAGGGTTCACATACTTTTTCCACCTGCACTGTGAATGTTTACATGGTGTGCAATAAAAACATGGTAACTGTGGTGAAACCAACCTCGCCACTCTACACTGGAGAAGCCTGGTTGCTCGCATGCTGCCTTTGGACTATGGCCCCATGTTAAAAGACATATTTTTTTCCTACAGAAAAGACTGATTCGTGCTTTTCTGCCGGGTGTTCGGTAGATTTGTTTGAGTGTATTGTGCCCCAGATAGGAATCCCATGGAGCCCATTCGCATGAAACTGACTGTGTAAAGACTTTGGCTCCATGGCGATTAAACTGTATTAGTGTGGTCGGAGCGCCATTCGCTTAATAATGTGCGCTCAGACCTGAGCTATCTGGGGATATGTAGAACGTATATGTTTTATTTACTGAATGTAACTGTAGGTAATTTTATGTCTTTTACTGTTTGTTTTCTGCCATGTGGTTAATGGAGTTTTACCTCTGTCTTTGGAGATAATTGAATTACTTCCCAAATTATCTCCAGGGCAGAGAGGGAGGATTGTGATGCATTGTGGGATTTACTGTATGCTGTTAGAGACTGATTGCCAGGAGTGTAAGCCGCTTGGGGGCTTTTCCTGTTCGTCTGCTAGCAGCTATTCGTGTGTCTCCAGTTCGGGAGTTTCGAGTATTCCCTTGGTTGCAGTTCGGGAGTTGCTAAATTCGTGGGTTTGCAGTTCAGGAGATTGGCGCTTGCATTAGCTGTTGGTGCAGCTGAAAAAGGGGAATATCGCCTAAACAGTTTTTTAACCTCTTTTGGGCAAAACGGTCCGTTACAGTAACAATTCATTCTTTGTGTGTTATTAGTTTAAGCAGACTGTGATTGTCTATTGTTGTGACGTAGATGATGATCAGATCACATTTTATGACCAATTTGTGCAGAAATCCATATCATTCCAAAGGGTCCACATACTTTTTCTTGCAACTGTATCTTAAATTGTGTGCAGATATGGTCTACATGAGACAGCAAAGTCTGATCGAGGTACTCATTTTACTGGGCACATGTTTGCAGAAATAATGAAAGGGCTGTAGATGAACCTGCATTTGCATACTCCTTACCACCCACAATCATCTGGGAAAGCAGAGCGAGTAAATGGTGTTTTAAACAATAAAATTACTAAGATCCGTGAGCAGACAAACCTTACCTGGGTACAAGCCCTTTTTGCAGTGAGGCACACACCAAAGGGAAAACATGGCCTTTCGCCATTTGAGATTTTGTTTGGCAGACCGCCCCTTGACAGGCCTTTTCTTTCCACAAAAATTACATGGACAGTATGCTTCTTTAACTGACTATGTTGTCCAGCTGGACAAGCAACTGACTAAATTGCATGGAAAAGTTTTCTCTTCATTACCAGATCCAGAAGAAACAACCGGAACTCACCACCTGCACCCTGGAGACTGGGTGGTGATAAGGAGATACATGAGGAGACATTTAGAGCCCCAATTTGATGGCCCATACCAGGTATTACTAACCACACCCACCTCAGTCAAGGTGGAAGGGAAACCAAACTGGATACATGCTTCCCACTGTAAGCTACCGTGTTTCTCCGAAAATAAGACCAGGTCTTATATTAATTTTAGTCACAAAAAACACACTAGGGCTTATTTTCAGGGTAGGGCTTAGAGCCAGTCTGTCAGCTGGTGTCTGCGCTGTGTAACCCCCCCCAGAGACCCTCACCTCCCCCTCCCTGTAATATTCTCCCCTCCCTCCCTCCCTCCCTGTAATACTCTCCCCCCTCCCTCCCTGTAATATTATCCCCCTCCCTCCCTGTAATATTTTCCCCCCTCCCTCCCTCCCTGTAATATTCTCCCCCTCCCTCCCTGTACTATTCTCCCCCTCCCTCCCTCCCTGTAATACTCTCTCCCTCCCTCCCCTGTAATATTATCCCCCCCCTCCCTGTAATATTCTCCCTCCCTCCCTGTAATATTCTCTCCCCTCCCCTCCCTGTAATATTATCCCCCCTCCCTCCCTGTAATATTCTCCCCTCCCCTCCTGTAATATTCTCCCCTCCCACTCCCTCCCTCCAATATTCTCCCCTCCCTCCCTGTAATATTCTCCCCCTCCCTGTAATACTCCCCCTCTCCCCCCTCCAATCTTCTCCTCACCTGCTCTTCCCTGTAGCGTGGCCGAGCTCCTCTCCGGTCTGCAACCCGGCCGGACTGACAGGAAGTGCACACCCAGTGTGCACTTCCTGTCAGTCCGGCCGGGTCGCGGACCAGAGAGGAGCTCGGCCACGCTACAGGGAAGGGGAGGTGAGGCAGTGCGGCAGCCGTCTGAGAGCTCTCTATAGAGCGCTCAGTCGGCTGTGGCATTTAAAGGGCCGGCAGCTGCCGGCCCTGCCTAGGTCTTATTTTCGGGGTAGGGCTTATATTGCAGCCCACCCCGATAATCCAGCTAGGGCTTATTTTCGGGGTAGGTCTTATTTTCGGGAAAACACGGTACGTAGTGGGGAATCGCGATGCAGCCTAGAACAAAACTAACCCCATTCAACCCCCCAATAACGACAGACCACTTAGTATGTATGAAACAGGCCACAGCATTTATTATCACAAACTAAATTACTGCATAACACATCCATAACTTTATTTATTAAATCTCTTCTTTTTCTGTAACCAAAAGCATTAGACATAATAAGCATAAATTAACATATATACATATATGACTCCACCCATAGTGTTATACAGTGACCCAACCGTCCTTGCCAATAAACATACAGTGGTTCCTAATCACCTCCCCCGTTGTCATAAAAATCATATCTAACCAGACACTTCCCAGACTCAAACGGCGCCGCAACCAGAGCACCACCGTGGTGGAGGACACCGTCACATGATAGACAGCCTGCACCACCCCAAGATTGTCGCAACGGAAGAACTACCTATCAGTTCGTGAGTAGGGAACCCCATGTCTACCATGCCCCCAGAATGGGGAAGAGCTCCAAGATAGCCAGAGGCTGCAAGAGCCCCGATGCTTGCCAGCTTACTGGGCAAGAGTCAGCACCCCATGGAGAGCCCAACATGGCCCCAAACCTGCCGCAGCGGTAAACAGGCAGAAGTTGGTGGAAGGGACCTACGGGGTCTGTCAGCACAAGCTACCAGTCAGGGGCAACCGACGCTCTCCTGCCCTGCAATCGATCCCACTATCCAGGAAACTACAGCCCGTATCCCGAGCCACGGTTACGTCCTGGGCCACGGAACTCCGAAACACTACCCCAAGAAAACACTGCAGCAGCAGAGCGTGGACGTGCAACACTGATGGCCCCACACAGGAGCGACAATGGAAGCAACCCTTGTGGAGGCACACAGCCACTCAACACCGACCGTCAGAAAATACAGCCTGGAAAACAATAACCCGCCGGGCAGCCAATTCCACAGTTGCCGCCATCAGCAAG